TAAGCTGCCTGCCGAGCGGCGCATCCCGGCTACCCCGCCGACCGCGTCCTCGGCAGCGGCGAGAAAAGCCACGCCGCTTCTACCTTCCTCGCTGGGGGGGGCACCTTTAGTGAGGGGTAGCCTCACCCCGTCACACGGCTGCTTTTCCGGAATAAGTGGCCATTGTAGACACAGCCCACAAGTATGCGTTGGGAGGTGAACATGAAAGAGACAGCATGCATGTGTGTGCGTGTGTGAATTGTGAGAGTGTGTTTTTGGAGACAGTGTGTTTGTGAATAAGATAAACAAAGTGTGTGTTATGTGAGACACCAAGTGTGTGTGTAGCTTAGCAGAACAAAACCCTCCCTAGGGGGAATAGCCCTTTGCAACTTCAGCCAAGACGAGAAATGTGGGTGCACATTCGGCCATCAGGTGCCCAACTTCCTTTCACACTGTGAGGCAGTTGGTATCTAAATCCCTTAAGGGGCATTAAAAATCAGAGGTGATGTCAAGGAGGTGGTTGAATTATTCTTGGTGCGGCCCGTGTTTGAAGAGCCAGGCCTATGGATCAGACTGACCTGGGAGCTTTAGCCAAGAATCTTTCAAATTGGGAGCATTGAATTTTTTTCCTCCTAGAAAGCAGCTCAGTTCTGCTGTCACCACTGAGAAATGACGAGCCTGCCTCCAGAAGGGAGATCCCCGCAACTTTGAATGGGCTGGGCGGAGTGGAGGAATTGTGGCTCCTGGCTGCAGCCAGCCGGCTTGGGGCCATGTGTGTGGGGGAAGGGGCTCGTGCGCCCGCAGGAGCGAGCCAGACCCAGCCACCCCTGGGGCTTTGGTAAAGCCTGGGATTAGCCGGCTGCCTCGCCCTCCCTGCAGCCAGAGCGGAGAGTTTGTGGAGGGCCCCGCATTGCAACCAGGGATCCCCAGCGGGAAGCAGAGGAGCCACTGCAGGGGGACCCGTTAGAAACTAGCAATTCCCCCTTCTCCAGAAATAGCACCAGCCCTCTCTTATCCCTCCCTGCTGCTGCTTTCCTGGCGGGAGGGACCGGCTCTGTCACCGCATGGGCCCCCTGCCGCCAGTGGGCTGCAGCACAGGGCAGAAGGCAGGCACATTCTCCCGGCTGCCCCTCAGCAGCCGGCTCCCACTGCTGCTGTCACTACAGCCGCCTCCTGCCTGGTGCCCCCCAAGTGCTTAAGCAATCCGCATCTTTGTGTCCTTGTCTGTTTCTTTGTGTCCATCTTTCAAAGGGTGGGTTTGTTGCTTTGAATCTGCTGCCACAGCAGATACTGGCTGGACCTGATACCAAAGCTTGGGGGTTTGGATTTTCCTCTCATGGGGTTTATCTCTGCTCAACCTCAAAAGGCTAATTCCCTGCCGCCCTAGAGCGACACACACGACCCTTGATGGAGCTCGGATGCTAAAACTAGCAGCGTAGCCTCGGCAGCACAGACTAACTACCCGCAGCCGACTGAGATCCCAGGCAGGGACACAGGTGTATGTCCCCAGCCGCTGGCTCGGCTGTTCTGTTCTCCTTGCTCATTTGATGCTGCTATCCTTATGAAAGCTCCGTCATGTCACTCCAGCTGAGAGCGACACCTCCCAGCTCTAGAATGGACATGCCCATGTGTGAGCTTTAAATATCCTCCATTTCCACTCAATTGACTTGTGCTATGTCCTCCACGTTATTGTGGAAGAAAACATTGTCCTCACTCTGCGTTCCTAAGCAACAAGTAGCCAGAGGTAGTTTTATTACAAGCGGCGGCAAGGGAAAAACTGGTTCAGACGGGGAGGGAAGCCCCCTCCCCCCCAAGGCAGATCTTCGAATACAAGCAATTATGAAGCGGTTTATATAGTGTCCATTAGATATAATAACAATAACAATTAGTCTCCTTCCCGTTACAAACACCAATGGCTAACAGTTATTTAGTTCCACCCAGATGCTCCTTATCCCAAGGTCCCTGCCAGAGTCAGCGTTCTATCCGTATCTCCGTATGGAGGCGAGAGGCAAAGGCAGCGTCTAATTACAGGTCTCGCCCTGTCAGGCCACAGTCTTAGCCTGACTCTTGCTCTCTTGTTAACAAGACCAAGATGGCTGCACACAAATTCCCTTATTCCCTTTTCCTGCCTCCACATTACGAAGATACTTCAAATCTCTGAGTGTTGAAGGCACTTGGGTGGGTATTTCTGTCGTTCATGAAGATGCAATGCACTTGGTTCCAATTTCTCGGAAGGTCGAGCCCACAATGAAACAGTCTTCCTCTGCTTACTGTGTTCATTTTTCTAGTGGAGAGACACAGTGGTATGAGCTTAGGGATCCCAGGTTTCTACCCACGTAGCCAACAGTATAACCTGTTTGCAGGTGCTCCATGCGTATCTGATGATTTTCTGTTTCCAGACACGTATTATGGAAGGAAGAAACCAAACGCCCATCGTGGAATTGATCCTTGTTGGGTTTGGGAACGACCCTGAACTGCAGCCCCTCCTCTTCCTGCTGTTTCTAGTCATCTACATTGTGGCTGTGGCTGGGAACCTCCTCATCATTGTGCTAGTGGTGGCTGATCGGCACCTTCACACCCCCATGTACTACTTCGTGGCCAACTTGTCCGCTGTGGAGATCTGCTACGTCTCCACCACCCTGCCCAGGCTGATTGGCAGTCTGGTGACTGGGGACAGAACCATTTCTCTTCAGAACTGCATCGTGCAATTTCACTTCTATATTATCCTGACCAATGCAGAATGCGTGCTGCTCACGGAAATGTGTATTGATCGGTATCTAGCGATCTGCCACCCCCTCCGTTACCCCGCTCTGATGAATGGCAGGGTGTGTGGCCACATGGTGGCAGGATGCTGGATATTCGGCATTTACTACAGCATCATGATACACATTTTTATTCTGCAATTAACATACTGTGGTTCCAACGTATTTGACCATTTCTTTTGTGATTTTGCATCCGATGGTGGGTTCTGTGGCGAGACCCGGACTCTGGCACTGGTGACATTTATTCTGTCTGTCGTATTGAGGCCTTTCTGTTTACCTTGGCAACATACATTTGTATCATCGCCACCATCCTGAGAATCTCTTCCAGCACTGGGAGGCAAAAGGCCTTTTCCACCTGCTCCTCCCACCTCATTGTGGTTGCAGTTTACTATGTGAGCGGACTGACAATCTATGTGCTTTCACTGTTCCAGCCTCCCGCGATCCTGTACAAAATATTGTCTGTCACGAGCACAATCCTGATACCTTTGATCAACCCTGTTATCTACTGCCTGAGAAACAAGGAGGTCCATCAGGCCCTGAGAAAAGCTGGTATGAAACAGGTTGATTTCTGTAACAGGCATGCAGTGTGAAAGAACAAGTTTTGGCGTACAGTAAAATAGAGAAGAACTGATGTATATAAAAAGAATATTTACACCTGGCCCATTTGACTCATCAAAAAGAGGGTTACCTCAAATTGACCTTATTTTGCCTTGTCTTGTTTGAGTTCTTCCTTTCTGCCTGTAGTTCTCCTACTTTCTCAGCTTTTATCTTTCATACTAGACATGTATATCAGTAATGTCCTTCGCTTCACTGATCTGTACAGGAACACAGGTGCCCAGAGTCGGTAAGGAGCTTAACAACTTCTGAGTGGTTCTGGATCCCCTCCACATCTGCTGAATCCAACGACTTTCACATCCCATTGAGTAGGCTCTTCTGTTGTCAATTACAGCTTGGAAATTAGGGGAAATATTTTGCCATCACAGTGAATGAATGTAGAGCACATCTGTAGATGGGAAAACAAATAGGCTGTGTCTAGACTGCATCCCTTTTCCACTTCATTTGCATAAACATGGCTGGCGCTTTTTTCCAGCTCGGAGCTTTGCCGGAAAAAAGCGCCAGTCTAGACGCGGATCTTTCGGAAAATAAACCCTTTTCCGAAAGATCCCTTATTCCTCTTAAAATCAATGTATAGATGTGCCAAATTTCAAAATAGTCTATTCTGAAATATTTGTGTAGCGCAAATTGCGTATCTTATTTCGAATTTAGGGTGCTGTGTAGACACACTCTGAAGGAGGAGGAAGTGGGGGAAGGACCACCTGTTGGGATGCCTCTTATGGAGGAGAATATGTGACAGGGTAAGCATACCCCACTCTGGGCCAGAAGAGGTTAATCCCACACAATGGGTGGAGGAAATCTCACCTACAAATCCTACTGGGTATGTTCCAAGTGCTATGGTACTAGAAAAGGGAGCAGTCCAGTTCAATCTGGGGACTGACTGTGGGAGAAGAAGAAATGAAATTCTGTGCACGATTGGGAGTGTTAGGGTATGTCTACATATCAAGCTTATTTTGGGATACCAGAGGTATTCTGAAATAGTCACCCCATGGCTTTGCAAACCACCTGTTATTTCGAAATAACGGGCACGCTATTTCAGCATCACAGTATTTTGGCATTCCATGAGGGTTAGGGGATATCTTGAAATAGCACTTTATTTCAAAACGTGATACTCTCTAGGCAGCAGCCAATTTCAAAAGAGCCTATTTAGAAATAAACTAGAAATAAGATATGCGATTTGCCTAATGGAATGACTCTATCAGTGGCCTCTATCAGTCCCACTGCCCCGTAGGTCATTCAAAGGCTGTCCCCCCAAGACACCACCTTATATACAGGTACAACAAGTCACACCTCACTGCTGACGTTGTCAGGTTGCCACACTCTGATGTTGTCAGGTTACCACTCGCTACTTAAATACCTCCCATCAATCACCCTGTAGCTCATGGTTTGTTTAGATATCTCCATCCATCATGTTGTCATTTTAGATCCTTTCTTGAACCTGGGTCTGTATCTGGGAGGAGTGGGTACCAAGGTCTTTTTAATGACCTAGCAACATCATGTGCTTCCCACTTACGACCGGTACCAATTACTGTCCTGCAGTCGGTACCTAGCACCAAGTAGTGATTTGTGCTCTCAGCCCTGTGCGTGCCACGTTCTGTGAGCTGGGGTTGGCCTCTTGCTCACAGCTTAGCGTTGCTTTATGTTAGCCAGGTTTTGCCCATTGTTAACAAGGCCTCAGGCCTCAAACCAGGCTTGTGCTGCATGTTTTAGGCCAGTGGTCACCAATCTTTTTACACCCAAGATCACAGACCAAGCCAAGATCTACCCTGCCCCTTCCTTGAAACCCCGCCCCTTCCTTGAAGCCCCACCCTCTCTATTCTCCTCCTCTCCATCACTTGCTATCCCCCAATCTTTATACTGCTGCTTTTTTCCCCAATTCTTCTGCAGGAAGAGATGTTTCCAACATTTGGCCTGTCTAGACTGGACCAAATGTCAGAAAAAAACCCTTCTTTTGGAAGCCTTGTGGAAAGAGGAATATAGGAGTGACCCAAAGAGCATGTTTGCTCGTCCACTAAAAAAGCAGAAGAACAAACGCATCCCTGGATGCAGACTCCTGAAAAACTCCTGCAGTCTAGCCGTATCCTCGCTGGGTTGAGACAGGATGTGTAGGCTCTGAGGTGAGAATGAGGGATTTGGGTGTGGGAAGGGGTGAGAGGTGCAAGTTCTGGGACGAAATCTGGATGCAGGAGGAGGTAGAGAAGGGGACGCTGGCTCAGGGAGGGTACTCCAATAAGAAGAAAGCCACTGGCTTGTGGATGTGAGGGTGCAGGAATTTGGGTTGGGGTATGTGAGGGGCTCAGGGCAGGGGGTTCCAGTGCATGATAGGTTCAGATGTAGGGTCTGGGGGAATGGGGTGTGCAGGAGTGTTATGATGCTATGGCCAGATGGGGGCTTGGCCCCAATTGGGGGTTTGTTGGCCAGGCTAAATAAAATATTATTGTTGGCAAAATAAAATATTATGTCAAACACAAAAAGTTTCTGCATTGTCTTTATTTATGAGACAGGCAGGGAACCTGTCTTGAGTCAGGCCCATGGAAAAGTCAGTTGGGAGCATGGGACATGGTACTGGGGAAGGGTGCTAGTGGGTGCTGGGGCAGGGAACAGGGTGCCAGTGGGGGCAGGGGAGGGGAAATAGGGTGCCAGGAAGGCAGGGAACACATTTCTGCAGCAGGGGGCAGGGTGCCAGGGGGCAGGCTTCTGCAGGGGGGCAGGGGGACAGGTTTCTGGGGAGGGGGATCCAAGGGGGCAGAGTTCTGTGGCTGGAAGCAGGGGAGAAATAGGGTGCCAGGAAGGCAGGGAACACATTTCTGCAGCAGGGGGCAGGGTGCCAGGGGGCAGGCTTCTGCAGGGGGGCAGGGGGACAGGTTTCTGCAGAGGGGGATCCAAGGGGGCAGAGTTCTGTGGCTGGAAGCAGGGGAGAGGAAACAGGGTTCAGGGACAGGGTGCCAGTGGGGGTAGGGAGTCCCCTACCTGTCCCCTACCTCCCATGGAGGAAGGAAGTCCCGTTGCACGCTCCCTCCCCCTCCTGCTGAGCAGGGAAGCCCGCACACATGACCCCTCGGGGCCAACGCCCCCTCCCGCAGAGAAGGGATGTCCCAGCACGCCCCGGGAGATGTACTGGTAAGTTCCTGGAACGCCAAGGAGCTGGGACAAGGAGGCAGCCGGTGCATTTCCGGAACCCCCAGAAGTGACGTGCAGCTGTAGGACCTTCCGTCCACCCCGCAGGAAGCTGCCACTACCTGCATTGTGCTCAGGTAGGTAGTGGGGCAACTTGGCAGATGGGGGAAATGGGAGGCCCGGAACGCCTCGCGATCGACTGGTTGGTGACCATGGCTTTCGGCCCTCATCTAACTACAAACACACACAGCAATGACAATTGCACATGGTTATCAATATGTCCCCCTGAGTTCGGGTTGCCATCTGGGAGGGGCGGAAGCCGTAACTCATACTGACATGTTAGCCCTCTCCCTGAACCCTGGGGAACAGACTATGAGCCCCCTCTTCATGAATGATCTGCCATAACGCATGAGAAGGCCCCGATTCCTGCTCTCCACCTGGGGCAGTGCTGTCTCAGCATGTTTATGCCTGGTTAAACAAATATGTCTGTTCCCTGCTTATCTCAACCTTTCTTTAGCCACGTATTGTCCATTGTTAGCTTGGCCTCAGACCAGGCCCGTCCATTTCGGGCATATGTGAACGATTCTTAGCAGAGACTGTGGTCAAGATCTTACATAGTTATTACTGGGATCCTGGCCCTACATCTGTGTCCTTTGTTAATTCATTTTATTCACTTTTAATCTGTTAAACCCTGTTTCTTTAAGCGGTCAAGTAACGCGCATAAAAGGAAGTTACTCACTTTGTGCAGTATTGTCTGATCTTCGAGGTCCCCCCCCATGGGTGCTCCACTGTTGGTGACGGGTCATCCCTGGAGCTGCTCTTCAGAGCTTTTTCCCTAGTAGTTTCCTGTCGGGCCAGGTATGCGCAGGAGGCGGCTCACACCATTGGCGGTTTGAGAGTTGCCTCATGCATGGCCTGTCCCTTCCCCCTCAGTTCCTTGCTTGTACCCGAGTATAAGTAATTCTGAGCAGAGGGGAAGAAGGAAGGGCTGTGGAGCACCCATGGGGACATACGCCTCGAAGAACAGTCATTGCTGCACAAAGTGATAGCTTCCTTTTCTTCTTCGGGTGATGTCCCCGTGGGTGCTCCACTGTCGGTGACTACAAAGCAGAGCCCACGATGGATGGTAGGAATTGGAGGTAATGCGTATCAGCAGAGAATAAGACTGCTGTAGCCACTGCTGTATAGCCTACTACTTGTGGCATGATGGAATAATGCCTGGAGAAGGTGTGTTCAGATGACCAGGCAGGCATCCTCAGGGAGATCATAGATCTCCACTCCCTGGTGGACGTTTTGGGTGACCAGCACTGGGACAACACCACCACCTTCATCTACTTCCAGGTGGGAAGTGATTGATTGCACCACACCTAGTTGGACCACATTTAATTATCTTGATTCCACTTATCACGAGCCCATTTCTCCGGCATCCGGCCGGCCTCGTTCATGGACCACCATTTGGTGGCCATGAAGACCTCTCAGCCGGGAGAGGCGTTTGCCCTTCTCTGGGTGTAGAAAATCACTTTCTTAACATCCTTGTCCAGGGTTGTTATTATTATTGGACATTTCCCCCTCATTTCCCTCTCCTGCCTCCCTATCTGCTGGTCTTTCTTTTGGCTGCACAGATCCTGTCCTTTTCTTATTCCTGGCTTGCATCCACACTTCCAAAATGCTTTCCCCAGACCCATTGCCTAGCCTGGTTCTCTCTTGCCTCTCCCTCTGCCTCTGCCAGCCACGGCATAGCCAGTCTGTAGCCTGAGAATCTCCTCGGAGCAGGGCCGGAGCAAAACCTTCTCCACCTGCCTCCCCCACCTTGCTGTGGTCTCCTTGTTACTGAGCACAGCCTTCTTCGTCTACCTAACCTCCCCCCCTCCAGTGCTCCATCAGGTCTGGATCTCGTGGTGGGTGTTCTCTACGCCGTGGTGCCTCCAGTGATGAATCCGGTCATCTACAGCCTGAGGAACAGGGAGCTCAAAGCTGCATCGAAGAAACTGTTTGGGTGGAGATTAGTCTCCAAGAATTAAAATGTCCTTCATCCGTCCTGGGTCATGGTTTCATTTGATGTCATCAATGGAGGACCAGATTATATCTTTGCAAGCAGACAGTGCCATAGGTTCAT